GCGTGCCCCGGTCCGGGAGGATCCCACGTGCCGCGGAGCGGCTGGGCCCGTGAGCCGTGGCCGCCGAGCCTGCGCGTCCGGAGCCTGTGCTCCGCAGCGGGAGGGGCCACAGCGGTGAGAGAGGCCCGCGCACCGGCAAAAACAAGCAAATGCTCCTAATGTCACTACCCACCTATAAAACTGAACGAGTAATTCCGTGAGGTGGCGGAATGCGCCCCCCTCGCCGGGACCTCCTCCTGTCGTGTTGGTTGGTTTGGTAGAGACGTGTCCTGAGTGTCCACAGCCAGCCGCCCCTAACCCAGCCGCCGCCCGCCGCAGGTTTCTCTTGGAGCTGGAGCGCAGGATGGAGCAGAGCAGCGTGGTCTCAGACGTGTGCGACATCGTGCACCGCTACGCCGCCGGCCACTTCTCCGTCTACATCACCTACGTCAGCAATCAGACCTACCAGGAGAGGACCTACAAGCAGCTGCTGTGAGTACGGCTGGGCAGCGGGGCCGTCACGCAGGCGTGGCCCCGGCGGCCCCTCCTCTTGTGCTGACACTGAGCTGTGGTCCCTGGGTCTCTGCTTTCCCAGGACAGCATCCAACTCTGGCACGTTCTGGGGCTTTCGGTGTCACTAGGGAAATGTTGATGCCGGGACGGTCAGCCATGGCGCCCACCGGACCCGTGTCCAGATGGCCGTGCAGAGCTCTGTGAGTTTTAGAAAAGGGAGCTTGAGGCCAAGAGGACAACTCGAGGCCCAAGACGGCAGGAAGGTGGTTTGAACTAGAGACAAGGCAAGGATTGGGGGGGAGGGAGTCTTTCTGGTGGCTTCTCCAGCAAAGCCCTTGAATTTACTAATCTGCCCATTTTGTAAACTTTCTTGGGGTTTCCGTTGATGAGAGAGTTTTTTCATTAACTTGCCCCTTTTGAATTCTTCACATGTCTGTACCACGTTTCAACCACAGTTTAACCAGTGCTATGTTCTTAGCACGCTCATGGGCACCAAAGGACTGAGTAGTGATCTCTGGACGTTATGCTTTGTTGGGTCTTTCCATCAAGCCGTGTAGTTCGCTGGGGATGTTTTAAAGTTTGAGTATTCAGGGGTTTGGGTGTTTTACATTTGGGGTTTGGAAGTGGTATTTGAGGGAATCGGGATGCCGGTTTTGAGGACGAACATTGACAAGACAATCACACAGGAGAATAGGATTCTAGATGTTGCAGTGCCCAGGGGTCCACTGGTGTGGCCCGTGAGAGCAGACTCTCTGGGCCTGAGCGCCATGTCCCTAATGACGGGTAGTGCAGGGCCCGCGTCTGATCTCCAGCAGTGGTTCCCACTGCCCAGCCCGTCTGCAGACGAGACATCCCCACCTGGCAGGAGTAACACAGGTTCTCCCTGCAGCCGTCTCCAGCCTGCTGCCTGCTCCTGTCATTACGTGGGTTTACCTTGCCACCGTTTTCTGCCGTGGGTAAATCATCGGATTCTGCGTCTGACTCATAGCCTTGGCCACGCAAGGGATTCTTGCCCTCCCACACACAGCATATTTTGCTAAGACTTCATGGGCCTGGCGTGTGAAGTCACTATTGTTATTTGACTTGTACACGAACAGTTTATTTTCCATTAAAAAAAAAGAGAGAGAGGAGAGAAGAAATCGACACGTTTTCTGTGCTTGTGGGCTGTCTGGTTCTTAGGGGTCTGAGGACGGGGAAGAACCCCCTCCAATTTGCGCCTCCCACGAGCCAGAGACCTACTCTCTTGTCTGTGTCCCCAGCCAGGAGAAGGCAGCCTTTCGGGAGCTGATCACGCAGCTGGAGCTGGACCCCAAGTGCCGGGGGCTGCCCCTCTCCTCCTTCCTCATCCTGCCTTTCCAGAGGATCACGCGCCTCAAGCTGTTGGTCCAGGTACCAGCCTCTCTCCCCCGACACACACTTCTCCTGCTGTGGGCTGTTTGCTTTGGTCATTCCAGGCTGGCTTTCTGTTTCCAGAAGTCCATTTGTTCCACAAATCCTAATTAAGCTCCTACTGTGTGCCAAGCAGTGGGGGACTCAGCCTCTGCTTCCACAGAGCCACATTATGGGGGAGGGTGGGGAGATACACACACACACACACACACACACACACACACACACACACACACAACCAGGAAGTGGTCATGGCTGAGGACAGTGAAACAGAGTGACATGATGGTGGTGACTGCCTGCCCACTGCCAGTTGGGGGATCAGGAAAGACTTGGATGAGTGACATTTAAGCTAAGACTTGGCTGACAGGGAGGAGCCATTCATCTGACAGGGAGCTGCTTATGCAAAGGCCCCGGGGCAGCGAGGTGCACAGACGGGGCGGCCAGCAGTGAGCTGGGGGAACATGATGGGAATGGGTGTGCAGATGTGGGCAGAGGCTGATCAGGGGCCTAAGGAGCCAGGTAAGACATTGGGTTCTACCCTCAATGTGATGGGGAGTCATTCCATCTAGTTGACGCTGGTAAGAGCTCAAAGCAGCTGCCGTGTGGAGGGTATCGGGCAGGAGGACAAGAGTGGAAATGGGACTGAGGTTCAGAGGCAGCGCTTCCAAGGGGTGAATGTAGGCGGGGTGCTCCGGGTAGAGCCGCCAGTTACCGCAGGAGGTAGGGAGGGGCCCACCAGAGAGGAGGCCAGCGTGGAGGGCTTGTGCCCAGGCTTAAGAAGCCACACCATCTTCTGCCTGAGGCCAGGAGCAGGACCTGGTCAGATGGGGTTTTATCCCAATGAGAAAAGGTGGAGCCTGAGCCATCCTGTTCGCTGGGAGGTGGATTTGGGAGTCAGGGGGATGGTTACAGGCAGGGTTGGTGACCCCATGTTGGTGGGGGGAAGGGTAAGGAGGCATCGGAGCTGACTGCATGTGTCTGGCTTGGCTGGCAGGCAGAGGCAGGGCAGGTGACCGCACAGGGGAGGCTGGGGGCCTGCAGCTGAGGGACATCCAGAGGCGGGAGGGATCTGGGTCTGGTCTGGAGCTCAGGAGAGAGTGGAAAGGATGCCCAGCATCCTGGCGTCTGGGTGGCAGCAGGTGGCTGGGGACATTTGTGCCACCACATGGGGCAGCTGTGGGGAGGTGAGCTGTGCTCAGACGCACCCAAACCTCTTGGAATGAGAGCAGATCAGAAATATGGGCACGGGGAGAACTGTGAGGCAGAAACGAATGCAAACATTATAATTTATAGGCGAAACTCAAGAAAATCCAACTATTGGGAAAAAGACATTTTTATCAATAAGACCAGACTTAACGAAGCCTCGGGGTTGTTGCTACTTGGCTTCAAACGGCAGTCCCGCTGATGCTGCTGCAGACATCGAGCTCACCTCGGGGACAGCCAGCCCTGAGCGACCCTTCCCTCACTGTCGGGCCTCGCCCGCCCCCTTCCCCACCGCACTTGGTTGCCCCCTTTGCTTCGGTCTTCGCTGCAAGGAGACTGGGGCTCGGGTTTGGCCCTCGTAGTTAGTCCTCGTGCAGACCTTGACTCGTGGTTATCATCTTAGAGCTGGGCAAGGCTTGTGTGCGATGCTCTGCCCTCGGCTAGTGGAAGGTTCTCCCGCCCTCAGTCCGTAACTGGTGGGGCTCTTTGCTCCGGGATGTTGCAGCAGCACGAGGCTGTTCGGACCAGTGCGGCAGGGAGGCTGCCACTGCCAAAGGGGGCGGAGAGGGGAGGAATGGCTGTACGTGACCAAACTAAATACAGACTTTGCCTGTGCCCAGAACATCCTGAAGAGGGTGGAAGAGAGGTCTGAGCGGGAAGGCACCGCCTTGGGTGCACACAAGGAACTGGAGCTGGTGAGTTGTGCTTTCCTCTTTCCACATTTCCCGGTCAACGGTCTTCCTCCTCTAGACCCGCCTTCCTGTCCTGCCCCCTCCTGTGCCCGTGCGTCTCTGGAAGATGCAAATTCATTTTAATAGTTGGCAATCCAGAGAAGTCACTGGGTCCAAAGAATAAGTCGGGTGGGCTTCCTGCTCACCCCAGGCTTCTGACGTGTGGGGTGGGCCAGGCCGGCCGGGCGCTCTTGACCTGCAGACATGTTCATGGACCCTCCCGCCAACCCCCGCTCTGTGGCCACCCACAGGCCCAGGCACTCCCCTCCGCAGCCCTCGGAGGCCCCACGCTTGTCCTGACCTGTTTCCAGTGTCAAAAGCCATGGCTCTTGCCTCCCTTGCCGCGCTCTGAGGCCGGCTCTGGCTCTTCTTGGGCCCTGATGCAGCTCTGCCCTGTGCGCCTCTCCGGCCCCCCGATCCCGCCTCTCCCGGCCCTCGAGCTGCACCTCTCCTATCCCCGCGAGAGGACTGCCCGGCCCTGCCAAGCCTAGGCTCTTCCTGCCCAGGAGTGGAGAAAGCATCTCCTCTCCTGATCCTCGGAGAGAAGAGGATCCTCCTGGAAGCTGCCGGCAGAGCAGGGGCCGTGCGGGAGGGGTCAGTGAATGTTTCTGTTCCCACGTGTTTGTCTTAAAGCAGCGCTGTCTCGTGTCTTTGGCTCCAGTGTGTCCGCTGGAGCTGCGAGCCCACTCCTGGCAGCCGTGCAGGGGCCACTCTGTCGTGCTGGTGACCCTGAAATGGACGAGAGCCTGGTGTTGGGAAGTCCTTTCCACTTAGTGTACCAGTGGCAGCAGCTTAGTAAAAGGACTAGCCCCAGTGGGCGTCAGGTGGTGGTTCTAAGCCACGTGGAGCCACACGGAGCCATGAAGACTTTGTAGCTTAATGCAGTCTTTTCCCCCCAGGGGCCTCTCCTCGCATCCCTCAATCAGGCCAGTTGGCCTCCAAAATCCTGGCGATTATACCCTTTGGATACTGGGAAAAACAGCACTCCCCTCCCAGCCTAGTTGGGGAAAGGCTGGAGCCTCGAACAGGCTGGTCAGGGAGGGTCAGTGACCTGCCAGCCAGGCTGCATCTCTCGGGACCCTCTGCCCACCCCTGGAACGCACACACCTGATCAGGTGGGGGCTTCATTCTGGCCCCCACCGGGCAGCCGGCCACACTGGGCCCCAAGGGGTCTCGGGGCACCGGCAAGTGTTTTCTGTTTTCAAGTTCCTTTCTGCTTTCATCTCCTTTTCATTTCCCAGGTATACGCTTGCTTCTCATTATTTACCTTTTTTAATAAAGGTGGGTTTTTTCCCGTAAGTTATAAAAATGATGCTGAATACAAACAAGTCCACAAACTGTTCATGGGCAAGAAGAAGATGGTAAAGGTGAACAGTTCTCCCACACCTGCCGACACGCTGGTGCCGGCCCTCCCAGACCCCTTTCCAGACAGACGCCTGCACACACAGTTGTATTCTTTGCAGATGGGCTTGTGCTTTATGAGCTGGCTTTTCCTTCCATTTTAGTGCCTGTAAAATTATTGCACTTCATGATTTCAGAACAGGGTTATGTGGGTTTATGAGCGTTAATCAACCCCTGTTGATGGACATTTAGGTTGAGGACAGTTTTCCTTGCTCTGAACACCACTGCAGGGGACATCCTAGTACGCACGTCTTTGGGCTCGTTCCTAAATGCTGCGTGCCTGCTGGGTGCCGGGCCCTGTTCTAGATCCTGTGCAGATATCATCTCTAGGAATGAGCCCCCAGAAGTCCCAGAAAATGTGGTTTCATTCGGCCCCTTGGTACCTGGGTTGCCTCCCAGGAAGGTGGGGGGACTCTGTGCTCCCCCCACAGCGTGTGACGGAACCTGATCCCCAGACCTGGGGGCATTTCCAGTCTGACAGATGAGAAAGGACGTCTTCTGGTCGAAATTTGCTCTCTTAGGTGACATGAGGGGTCGGCATCGATTTATGTGTTCTCTGGAGTTCACGTTCGAGCAAAGACAAGGCCCTGATTTTCTACACTGGAACTGAGACCCAGCTGAGACTGACCAGCTGTGGCCCGAGTGGGCCGAAGGAAGTGGTCAGAGACAGCTGCCTGCGGGTGGCCTGATGTGTCCTCCTTCTCGTCCCAGGTGGTAAAAGCATGCAACGAGGGCGTCAGGAAAATGAGCCGCACAGAGCAAATGATCAGCATTCAGAAGAAGATGGAGTTTAAGATCAAGGTGAGCCCATGCCCAGCCACGTGTCCCCGCCCCAGCCCAGCTGTCCTGGAGCATTGGGCACTGGCTGGGCTCGCTGAATGGCTGCCCTTGGGTCTCAGCACAGCATCACCTCCACTGAAGCCTTCCCTGACCCCTTAGCTGAAGGCCCCACCTGCCCCCAGTCACCGGGCTGTCACATTGGCCTAGACCAGGGGTCCCCAACCCCCAGGCTGCGGACCAGTAACGGTCTGCAGTCTGTTAGGAACCGGGCGGCACAGCAGGAGGTGAGCGGTGGGTGAGGGAGTGAAGCTTCATCTGTATTTACAACCACTCCCCATGGCTCCCCATCGCCCCCGTGGCCTCCCATCACCCCCCATCGCCCCCCATGGCTCCCCATCGCCCTCCATGGCCCCC